GTCCCCACATTCTAGTCATCTGCAGCTGTAACTGTCATTGGAAGCCTGCAGAGGCACCGGGCAGTTGAGACTAGCCGTGACCTTTTACATTGCCATATATATCCAGAAACCATTCTGTCTGTAGCAGAGGATCCCAGTTCCCAGCGGTTTCTGGCCACGTGGGTGGGTGTGCGCATACGCACGCAGTCACACGCGTATGTGCTTTGGAGAGCACTGCTCTCATTTTCTGCCTGCTAACCATTTCCGTAATCAGCTGGTCAGAGGCAAGCCTTTGGCCTCTTAGCAAAAAGATCTCTGGGAGTAGCTTCCTATGAAATTGTGACTAGGGTCTTTTCTGGTAATCTGCCTCTGGTTGCTGACTCTAGCTTGACCCTGAAGAAAGAGAGGGCATGGACTGAAGGAAAACTATTTCCAAGCCTAGCTTAATTCTAGGTTAGAAGGCAGAGGTTTTGGGTTTTTTCTTTTTTAGATGACACAAGACTCAGCTACCGAGTTTCTCGGTTCCTTTGTGCAGGGGTGTCTCTGCCCATCTGTCTGGTGGTTTTCTGGTAAGAAAGACCGGCGTTATTTCAGTAGTGGCTCTTCTTGTGGAGCTGCTGTCAGCCACAGACATCCCCTGTGCACTGCCCCGCATCCTCCCCTCCTGGTGCCTGACCTACCTGTGGAAACCCCACAAGCTCTTCAGCGCTTGTCTTTAACAGCAGGGTTACCCATTTCTGAGTAGGACTGCGACAGACACCCATGGAACCAATTTCCCCCTTACCTAGGCTGCCTGTTCCACTGCCGCAGCATATGAGCATCTAATCCATTTTCTTCTGCAGGCCGCTTACTAAAATACACTTTCTGGGGCTTCTCGCAAGCACGCCTCAGAAGATTCAGTCAGAGCAGATTGGAGCTGTTCGCTTGGCTTTTCATGCTAACCACACTGTGCTTATTAAAACTGTTCTCCACAGATTGCCTTAGCTTATTTAAGATTTATAAATCTCTTGGATTTATGCCACTAGTACCTCTGGTAATCAGGAACTGTCCTTTCCTTGGGTACCCCCCCAACCCTGGCTGTCAGCCAGAGAGCACAAGCAAATCATCCCCAGCACTGAGGAGAAGCTGCTTTACCTCAGTTTTGAGTTTTTGCCTTTTTTTGCCTCTTTTAGTGGTTACGCCAAATGAGATTGATGGTTTTCTCAGAAGGAAGGGCTGCTGCTCTAGCCCTACCCTTTCTCTAAGGGATGAATGCAGTGCAAAGTGATGTGGCACCCACAAGACTACATGTTTTCCACAGGCTAAGTTGACTGGGAAACATCTGAGACAAGTGACAGAAATTTTGTAATAGCATTGTATTTTTAAGACAAAAAAAACCCCAACAACAAAACCCCCAGAAAATGGCTTATTCCAGTTATTAAGTCTCACACTTTTCCTGAGTGTCTTCATAGGCCTTCAGGCAGAGCAAAGGAAAATTTAAAATCACTAATAATGTACTGCAGAGACAGCCAAATACACCATTAGGCGTATGAAGAGTGTCAGCCCTGCTACCCATTGTGTAATGTGTTCTATCGTAAGAATTTGTAAATAGAATAGATACAGCCTTCTGCGACATAAGGATGGCTCTTCTCGTTCAACAGCTGAGCACGGCAAAGCACGGAGTGATCTCTGAGCACTTAACCCACCGTGGGGAGAGGGGGCTGAGACTGATGCCAGGGCATGTTTTTCCAGTGTGCTGCCTTGCTGTCCCAGCCCTCAGCCTCACCACTTGCCTTCCCGGTCTGTTCGGGCATGTCCGATTTCCAACCATGGTGCCTGTTTCAAACACTGCTGCTGACCCACTGCAGCCCCTCCTCGACCAGGGCCAGCAGCCTTTCACCCGAGTCCAGCACGATGCTCAGCATCCCCAGGGTCTCTCCCCGTCTCTGACCCTTTGCTCGCTTCTGCTAGATCAGAGCGTATTGAGGGGACAGTGTCAGGGTAGCATTTGGGATCTCTGGAGGGAGGAGACGGCGCAGAGGCTGCCGGCTGCAGAGTGCTCAGAGATGCATCTCCCTCGCAAATGCGATAGTCATGGCAACAGTGCTCCGGCTTCTCCCGGAGAGCAGTAATTCAGCTTCGGACATAATTCCATATATTCGGTTTGTAGCGCAGTATTGCTCACGCAGCAGTATGCTCACAACTCCTGAAACTGATTTTCTCTTATCCTGCCAAAGATGGGGTAGGGTCACCCAGCTGGCTTTTCCAGCCCACTCATCCATGAGTGTGAGAGCAGGGGGAGGTCACAGCTGGATGACACACACATTTCTTAGGCTTTTCTTAGCACAGGATACAAATATCCTCCCTTTGCCAGAGTATCCCTGCATACCCTTTTAAGTACTGCATTCTGCTGCAGTGCTGGGGGATCTCTGCACGTAGCACGAAGGCAGCTGCCGGGGAGAGGTACAGCAGAGCTGCTGTCGGACGTGATAACAGCCTCAGACAAGCAACAGGAGCTTCATTCTGCTGGAGTCCGCACCTCCCAGGCGGACCCTTGTTTGACGGCCGGGCGGGCAGTGGTCACCTGGCAGGGCAGCACATCAAGCATCCTGGTGAGACTGGCAGGAGGATAGGCCATCAGCAGTAGTGACAAGGCATACACTTCAGCATGAGAATGAGGCGGCAGTTTTTATTTGTAGGCACCCAACGTGCAAGACAGCGCCTGTGCGGTTCTTGCAGGCAGTATGCGGCAGTATGAGCAGACTGTAGCATGTGACGGTTAACACTTTTTTTTTCTATACTAGCTACTGAAAAAGAACAATATTAAAGCGTAAATGACCTGGGAATTTATCCCTCAAACATTGCCTGAGAGCTGCACAGTAGGATATTACCTGCAAGTATGGGCTTCTCACCAGCAGAGCAACTGGTGTGTGCTGGGAGCAGCCAGAAGGAACGGTTCTATAGAGGTGGAAGAAAAAACGAGCAATGAAAATGCGTCAGCTCGGCAGCTCGAGAACAGGAGTCTCTGGGTTGCTGAGGTTTGCTCCAAGCCTGGGAACGGTTTTCTCTTTTTGGAAATGTTTGTCTGCATAACAGCCCAGGACAGCCCACATCTCTTCCCGTTTCTCTTAGACTTCTTCCTTCTGTCCCCTGCCTTTGGTTCTCTTCCCATTGGTATGGTTTATGGGCTGTACGCTATAGACAGGTTGTCTGATGTGTGCCTTTTAAACATCATGGGAAGAAGTACATTTACACTCGGAGAGGCGGGGAAGGTAAAAG